GACAACGCTATACATTCGAACAACGTATTTATTATAGACTATTCAATAAAAAATATACTCTCAACAACGGGAACACGCCATAGAGGCTCGTTACAACGGCAACAATGCCGATGATGTAAGCTCAAATACCGTACGATAAATACAGGAATGGACTGAGGATCAAAATCAAAAATATAAAACCCTGATGAAATATTAGATGCCTCATACGTCCCGTTACACACAGGTCAGAGTCAGAGTCTCGGAAACAAAAGAATATGAAGAAATTTGGAGCGAAATCAGTATTTCAGATGAGCGACTCCCTCTTAAACAGCAACATCCAACATCATTTGAAAGATCTTTAATGGGATGAAGGCGAATTAATCAAACCTGGGCTAATGTGCCTTCTCAAGTTCTTCCTCTCACAAAATTTGCAATGCGTTCCACACACTAGTTCAACCAGGGATTCAACAAAGAACATAAATATTAAAACTAATAAGGAATAGTGTGACTGATGTCGGACTACTTTCCCTCATCTCATTTGAGTTAATCCAGATTGCGTTTTCTAATTTATTTAAGTGTTCAAGAAATTCACAATTGGATTCGTTTGATTCCCCACATGCATAGAACTTCAAATTACTTAATTATAGTATCACTAACAGAACAATATAAGTCAATATACGAGTACAATCAAATGTTTGAATCTGTAGCTGCACTCTTCACTTAAACTTTCTTCATATCCGTCAGTCCGTGGAGCAAGCTAACTTCGCATTCATTACTGTAATTATAACCTATTCGGCCTAATCCGAATTCCCTTTTCAATCATAATTTACGTGAGATGCAGATTAATGTGATGGTTTTTTTACAAACAATAATTTTAACTTTACGCAATATACGTAACATCAATTATGTTCGGGAATTATCGGAAAACTATTAAATTCTAAATCCTATTTGAGTTTCTCTTTAACTATATAAAATCAGAAATCCAAAAAAAACCATCCCGAGTATTTGAATGAATTGACAATCTTTGTGCATAAGTTTATCGAAGTCAAATAATAAAGCAAAGGAAACCAAATTACATCGGGAGATATGTCAGAAAAACCCAAATTTGTCGATTTCGTTTTTATTTTTCTTTCCGTTGTTATTTGAACAGATACAAAACAAACAAGTTGTAAATCAGCATATGCATGATTAAAGCGCATTTTTGGTAATGCAGGTCAGTATTTTATTAGCGAAGTTTAAAATTATCGATCTCACGAGTAATTTCGACTGCATTAAATAATTAATTTTATTTAATTTCTATTGACGGTATGTACGTCGTCATTTTGTAAAACAAATCACAAAGTAAATAATAAGTTTTTATACTGGTAGCGCTATCTAACGGTAAAATTATAGCACCTCCGAAACCCATATCGAAATTATTTTCTTCAATTATGGATCTCACAAGTAATCTAACTCAAAATAGACTAGTGCCTGCACATCTACACTATAGCAGAAAGCTTTTAGTGAAAATTTGAAGTCTCTAGCTATTGTAGTTGTGGAGATCTAACGCGGACAGCCGGCCTGCCAGCAATGACGAATATAATAGCGTATTTTTTTCAAAAATGCGCTAAAAATTCACAGATTTCGCAATCCAATCGGAGACATTGGAAAGGATAACTGTATAACGCCATATGTAAAACACAAATAATCCTTATTTACTGGGGATTACCTGCTCCACTCGCTCGCAAGCTCGCTCGTGTCGCAAACGTGGACTTTCTGAATAATAAGCGTCGTAACATGCTTGTTAATAAGTAAATACCGTAGCGACAGTATCCGCGACTTTTCCTGAATCTACCGATTGCAGTCGAGTACGGGACAATCATTACTTGCTGCGACCCACTGTCTTCTTTTCTGCTTGACGAAACCGGTAACTTCATACCCATACAAAACATAAGCATTTCCAATGCTAAAAAACACTTTTTTATTATACCTGAATCACAATCTCCGTTTTAAACACTCAAATGCGTGCCAAAAAGGGCCTTTAAAACACACGTGCTTTAAAGTTGCTAAGTAACGATACTTCAAGTATGACTTTTGAAACTGTCATCTGGATGAAATAAACTCGGAAATAAAAAATCCTCTTAGGTCGCTTTCTGTAAATGCAGAACATTTCTTTGGCTTTTGTACCTATCCTTTGGTTGAAGCTTTCACAAACGCGCGTAATTTAGGGTATGCTTCCAAATCTGTTCCACTTTCTAATCGCAACATTGTTTTAAAGTTTTGAATGAATGCACTAAAATATAGAAGATTTAAATACCTTTGACATTTCCTTCATATATGCCAGCATTATGAATGCATTTAAGACTGTATTCATAAGTAACTTATTCGTCCATGAAAACAACTTTTCATATTCTTTATAATAGGCTTTACTGGATTTGGATTTTACACCTACCAACGTTTGTTTAGATTTTACAACAATCGATTTAATGGACGGTGTATTGTCTTTTTCAACGGAAATCGTTTAATTCACAAAGACGATGATTTTTATAAGCAAACGTCAAGTGACATTTCCATGGCAATCGTGAAATTTCGAACACCCAGCCCACTTAATTAAACATGTATTCGAGTGTAACGTCAATATGATTTCATTGTATTTCCTATTTTTAAATTATACTGCAGGTATAATAAAAAATACTATAAGATACACGTGTATAATTGGTCTTTAAAGCACTTGCAACGTTAAAGGCACTCCGCTTTGCGTCGTGCCCTTAAACTCGTTGCGCGTGCTTTAAAGACTTGATTATACACTTGTATCTTAATATACTATTTCATTGCCACTATGTGAGCTCTTCAAGACAGCGTTGAGAGATTTTCAATACGTTTCGTTTCGGGCAAATCGTCAACTTTATTTTTTTATATGACCCGTAAAAAATTACATACTGCATTGAGTAGCATTTTTTATTACAAATGCAACGATACCCACATAGCAGACCTATATACATTGCATATATCATGTACATTCCACGTGGGATATTGTATATCCATAGAATGTGGAAAAGTATGTCGCAAATGTCCGATGTATGTGCATGGGATATAAGTTTGGCAGACTTCACATAATACATAGTATATACGTTTTGGATGTCTTATGTATATGCATGTATATGCATCAGACATGCTATGTATATTGGTATACTGACAACTGGATATACCATGAATATTCCTGTAATATGCAAAAGATGTTCAATAGGATATTCTATGTATGTTGTATACATTCAGAATGGATGTTCTATAGAGATTCCTCTAACATTCGGGAAGTTTACTAGCATCTATACCTACATAAATAAATTCTTTTCACGAAGTGGAGCTTTTTGTTTATTAAGTCTCCTAGTATACAATGGAAAATGTGCTTAAGAAATTATTATTGTTTTATTTAACACTGTAGTCTTGAGTCATTTTGATCGTGTTCTTGTTTAACACTCGAATAGCGCGAGTTCATAACAAATAGGTTGCTTACATACCTGCCATTCATGTCCTTATATTAATTCCCATTCAGTCTTTACATTATCACTAACACATATGTGCAACGTTAGGTCATGCACACACGAAGTAAAAATCATTACTTTCACTGTCAAAATTAGACAAACAAACTCATTAATAACTCGCGGAATAACACTCCCGATTTTAGAAAAATGAACTGTATTTGCAATAGCACCTCACTATCTTCATCGCCGTAATTCATAGAAAATGAGACGCTAACGTTTGTAACGTCGGTAATGCAGAAAACGTATGTATCAAATCCAGAACGTATATACATAACATATAATCCCATGTATATACATAGCACATCCAAAATGTATATTTACAGAATATCCATACTGGACGTAAAATACATATGTTTATAATGAATATACATAGTATATACATAAGATGTACAGGATATTCCCTGTACATTATGAATTTAAAATTTATATACATAAGATATCGAATGCTATGTGTATATAGGGCAAACAAAAAAGACAAAAATGGGAAACTGTTGGTTTCAACAGGGTGGTGCACCCGCGCGCAACGCCGAATACTTATTGGACCTATTTTCAATTTTCCAGATGTGCGCGATAGATATTTTGGGTTTTTTATAGTAGTAATTTTCTGGTTTTCTATACAGCATTATACAACCTTTTCCCTAATTTGAGCATCTTCGTATCTTCTATGGTTTCCGAGATCCCCATGATAGACATCCTATTGCACACAGTGTGTTTTTAGGGTACGCTCAACTTATTACAAAGGAAACACGTGTCATTTTCCCGGATTAGATTTTCGGTAAAGGAATGCAACGAATGTTTTATGAAACCAGTAGCCACAGTCAACAAATCTTGATAAAACCATTTAAGGAATAATTAAATTCAATGTTAAATTTAACATCCGCAATAAATACGTTAAAACGATGACATAACGTGAATCATGGAGCTGTTCGCGCGCGATTTTTTCTGAAAATACCTACAATGTCTTTAATACCTCGAAGGTAGATGGTGAAGGTCACAGACGAAGATTCAACGTTAATTACAATGCAGTAGCAAAAACTTGTCGACAGTTTTAATCTGGACATAAGTTGCAGTCTCTTGTGTCATGCTTAGACGACTTTTCCGGTTATAAAAGGCGCTGGCTTCCAACTTTTTTAAGGATGTACACGGCCGATTACGAATCGAAGGCAAAAACTTGATTAATATAAAATATAAGTCTCATTTGACTTGCTGCTATTTTTGTCTAACCGGTGCATTGCACGTACGTCCTTGTCACACTTAACCGTGCAATGAACTTGACACGACGTGTTTTATGAGATTAATTCCTTTTTAAGGCTCTCATTTCGGAATTATCGCCGAAAAAAAAGGTGCGAAATTCTTTTTGTTCCGAAAAGCCAAAAAACTCTCGAGGAATGCCATCTTTCATTTAGAACTAAAAATATCTTCAGCCTTAGTCATAGATTAAATATGTATTAAAACTGCATTCCATTACCTTGTCTTCTAATAGATTGTTTTAATTTACAGGGAGCCATAATGAGAGTTTGGAAGGAGATGAAATTTCTAGTTCTTCTAGGAATAAACAGCGTCATTTTACAAATTCTTCAGTGCATCGTTTTGGCAGGTATGTAATACATTGTTCAATTATGAACGTTTAAGGGTGAGAGTACTTCTAATAAGGAAATTAAAGTAGGTCCCCCAGTAGCTGTTATATTAATTTATTAAAGCCCATACATCACAAATTTGCTTACCACGCAATTTGTTTCTATTAGGTTAAATTGAAGTCGTAGGTACTTAACTTTTAAAATTATTATTATTATTAAATTGCTCCGCACTCTATAATCATCGGAGGTCGACGTGCGTTGAATAGTTTCCGTATGAGGAGAGCAACCAGATTTCGAAGATAGTTGCGGTAATTCTAACTGTCACTAAAATTCGGTTCGCCCTATTTAAATTGATTAATGGGAGCAGAACAAACAATTAGGATCGTTAATTTGTACACCCTTCTCGCGCGGTTGCGTGCTCAAAGGAATACGCAAATCGAGCGTTTAGAATGCCGAATTTATAAATGTCTCTGTACTCAGCCCGGGATCTAAAACGAAGTGGCTGACAGTAAATGATTAAGGTTTAATTAAGCCTTATATATGATGCACATACATTTTGTAAAAAAATTGGCATGTTGCATGATTAATGATTATGATCTAGTGGAACGATCTCTTTGAAATTAGCACCTTTCATATATTTGCTATGATAGGTAGGTAATACATTTTGCAGTTCGAAAACAACACTTACAGAAATTAAAACGTCCGAATGTTTTTGTGCCATCGTTTTACGGTCACGGAAGTAGAATTCGGGCACCTTCTACGTCATATTAGATGCGGAAGTCACCACTGAAGTTTTTGCATCCTACAAGGCAATTGACGTATTTATAATTTTTATACCCAGCTAGTATGGCACCTTTTATGTACTATTTACACTGGTCTCTATCTGGAAAAATCGACATGGACCACCTTTTAAATTGTAATGGGGAAGGGATGCTTGTTGCATCTTCCATGGATCACCTTTTTCGCAACACCAATGTATGAAACTCCTTTTTCTAATCAACTGCAGATTGATCATCGACCGTCCGACAGGGCCCTGCTTTAATTTTTGTATAGTGGAATTTTTTATGGCGAATAAATTATATTATAATTATGAAATCATAATGAAGAAGGGTTGCTAGTCGCATCTTCCATGGATCTCATTTTTGGCAACACCCACTGCTTTTGCATGAATCGCCGTTTTCGCTTAGACAACAAAAATTTATCATCATCTATATTTTACATCATAATGGGGAAGGGTTGCTTGTTGTAGCCTCCATGGATCGCATATTTCGCAACGTACCACTTATTGTTTATTTATTTCTGTCAATGATTGTAATCATTAATAATTGAGTTTTAGTTTTATGATTTCCGAAAGTTGCCGTTTTTAAGCATTGTTTATAGTAGAGGAGCTCAACAGGGGATTTTGGGATGTATTCGAGCACGTCAAATTAAGATAAGGTGGGTTGACTACGAGGTTGACTACGTGTTGAAAAGTGTGCATTTCAATAATCTGACGATTTGTGCGTAACGTGAGGCAGTGACAACGTCATAAACTGTTCAGTTCAGTGCTTTCAGCACTTAAAGCATGCAAGTTACAGAGATCATTACATAGGCGGTCGTGTCATTATACGTACAACTCTAAATATCTGACGACCTCGAATAAATCCCGTGTTCCGCCCGTCCGTGCAGCATCCTCCACCATGCAAACTGGCAGATTAACCTACCACCAATATCAAAGGCACGTGGGGCGCTCGAGTATTTTCATGTGACTATTTTTTTTGTACATTATTAAAAAGTGCCCATCACCGATGGAGGTATGTATATCATATAACTAATTCTTTCTACCATCTAATCTACAAACTTCAATAGGTCCCTACGACGCTCGAGTAAATCCTTATTTAGCATCGTGGGCTCCCCTACTATTAGTAAAAAAATACATATTCCGAAAAAAGTGTAACTTTCCTTATGATTTTTTACAAACAATCTGATTCCCACCATTATCGCAGCTTCGATATTGAGAAATACATATCACTATCCTGCAATAAATATTGGGCAGTACTTTCCTATCCTTCTGAAAATAGAAGAACTTATAAACAGCAGTGGTTGAAAATAATCTAACCAGACTGTTTTCCACGTTGGGCGACAGATATATAATGCTGTGCCCCACGTTGGGCGCCAAATAAATAATGCTGTGTGCCCTGGCGTGCGGTCAGCTATACCGCCCATAAAACCTGTCCAAATAGCCCTAACAAATCAAAATTGAAACTTAAAAACTTCCTTAAATCCCTCCGCGTACACCTCCACTATCTGCTACAAAGAAAAATTTTCCTATTAGCTTAAAACTTCTCAAATTGGGAGACTCAATGGCCTCGTACAACTTCCCACAATTCCAAACAATTTATTAGACAACTTTTGATTAACACCTGAAATATTTCTTGGGCACCAATAGACAAATCGGACATGAAAAACTATCTGGGTCGAACAAAGGATTCAAATAAACACACAATTTAATTGATTGACAATAACAAAAATTTCTTCCGAAGCACATGAAACAATTAAAACAAAATCCATGAAAGAAAGAAATAACTCGCCAATCACAACGGACTTGATAACGGCAGCTTCGAAAGTACGTGTACCGGGTGCCCTCATACGACGAAAATATCGCGCAATTCTTCGAAATACATTATCTCTTCAGCGATAAGAACACGTGCGTAAATTAAATTTCGTCCCATAACAAAACTTCTTATCGCAAGCGACCAGATGCCTCTACATTTTGACACGCAACATCACGCCCTACAATCAAATACACGAATCTAAATAACCATTTTGAAAAGCGACAGAATCCAAATAAGAATTACGAAATTACAAAACTTCTAAAAGGAGAAACAACATCGAGGCACAAATTCAAACCCAATAAACCAACTCTGCGCAGATTTAGTTAATAGACCGAGAGATGACAGATTTTCTTAAAGTTGAAGAAACATCCGGGAGGGTAAGGTCAATACGACGGGAAGGATGTCAAAAGTACTTAAAAACGCGCCTCGTGTTTATATCACGGTTTTTTTTTATTACAAAAAAATAACAAAAGTCACAATACGTTTGAGTCCGTACTAGTTTGATGGGGCGTTGATCTCGATGAACGACCTCAACATTGTTTGAATTTATTGTTTTTTCGGTTACAAAAGATTAACATGGATATTTCCCGATACCAAACGGATGCACCTCCAATAATTAACGTGCAAATCGCACCAACTTCAATTCATTGACACCAGTTACACAATAAACAAGTATAACCTCCGCGATTAAAACATTCCTCTTTGCAAAATTAATGCGAATTTATGCGATAATTTATAACTTCTTTCTTAACATTCGCACAACGAAACGGAACCAACGCAAAATTGACGGCTCGCTTCTGTCTTTATCGCAGCTACAGAACACGCCGTACCGTCGTTTCAAGGGAATTTAGTCAGATTTAATGACCTAATTAATATGTTCTTCACTACATTAGAGTATGTTGCGTTTTTCCCCCGTTAGAGGATTACGTTCTATTGCTTTTTTATGGTATTTATTTAACTTTAATCTAATGTTACTTTAATTACAACAGGTAGAATGGTAATACCTCTTACTTGTTTGCTGTTCAATATCTTTAAAAACAATTAGATGTAATGTAATTGATTGTTTTTCAAATACTTTCTACTTAGGTGACTCAGTCCAAACCTGAATATACCTATTACGTGAGTGCAGAATCTGCAATGACTGTTTGAAGCGCAAATGATAATCATATTTTTAATTGTAATCATAAACAAGTTATTATTTCCACACGTAAATTTGTCAGCGTTTAATCATTTTTATTGTGCTATCATTTAGGTCTATTATTAGAAAAATGTTTTGAATATGACCATCACGTTCGGAGAAACGTTTGTTGTTAATATCGGCAACTGATCAATTAACTATTTTCAAATGAGAGGTTAAATGCACCGCACATATTAAATCATTGTAATTAAAACACTGAAATAAATTAGGACATTATTACCAATTATTTTAATTAATGTGTCTAGCGCAATCGGCGAAACAATAGCAATTACCAAATCCGCACAATCGTTTTGCAAAACACCTTGTAGAATTTATAATTCCATTCGATAATTAAGCGAGTAAAGTAAATTGACCGATAATGTTACATTCCCTAAACGCTATTCATCGATAAATTAATTATTGGTGTTATTGTCATACAAATAAGTATATACCAGAGCACACACGTTGGAAGGAAACATGCATGGGCGCCCTACCATGACCGACATAACAACGCTATTTTTGCACTAAATAAATGCTAATTTGTTAAATGGAAAATTGTTTAAATTGCATTTTGACCTCAATCCATTAAAAAAAAATTCAAGAATTTCTTATAGGTCGGTAATTAAAAAAAAACCTCCTTGGCACTTATTCATCGTTGTATTATCTTTGTAGTACGAGAAAGCTCGAACGCAATTAAATTTCATAATCCCCTTTTGTTTCAATACCAGTTATGGAAGAATCTTTAATTTAATCGGCCCAAGGTTTCGATAATTTGCACTAAAGAAGATCACATTTTTCAGGTCCCGCAAGGAGATCGAGTCGGATGATAAGGGAAGTCTATCCGGAAATTGAAACGGAGAAACTCCAAACAAATCAACCCGAAGGTAAGAATTTTGTTTTGCGCCTAATGCAGATAGAAAAAAAAACGCGAGTAAACAGGAAATTCCATAATTCAATTACCAATTAGAAATAAAACATGCACTTTACATCGACTTTCACCTTATTGCATTCTGGATCTTTAATTATTCTCACAGTCGTTATCTTATTATTATTATTATATCACACGTTCCTGACTTTTACTTTCGGTTATTGTTCTGGAGATTAACGACAATTAAAATTTAATGAGGAAGTCGCCACGCTTATGTCCCGAATAAACGGCTTTTGATTTGCAAAAATTTATGCGCCTACACGATTAATTACTTTCTAGTTAAGTACGGGTAACACTAAACTAATACACTTTCTTCCAGAACAATTTGCGAGTAATCAATTATGCATGTTTACGTTTTCACTCGTCCTGGTCCTGTTAGCAATCGAAAAGGACCAAAACCTTAAACAAGTTACAAAACCAATCGTAAACCAATAGTCTTTGTTAGATGAATTTGTTTCAGCCATTTAACTAAAATGACGACGAACCCGGAAGCACCGTTACTTGAAAAGCGCCTTCTGTTAAAATTTCGGAAAAATCCGCCTGCAACCACAAAGGTTGACTTTGAGAATACACAATCCATTGCTGATATGTGGTTCCAATTCATCTTCAATTAACATTTTAGAAAAAGTGGTCCACAAGTAAAAGTTGTATCTACGCATGCGCAATCTAATTTTTCATACGTCATTTCAATTCGCTTCTATAAGAAGCCTCTTCAGGTAAAATTTCATCAGAAAAAAATTGGTCCACAAATAAGAAAGTTATGCGCTGCGCATGCGCAAGTTTGCATTGCGCATGTGCACATCTGATTTTTATTATAAGCCTTTCCTGTGGTTAAAATTACAACAAAATATATTAATAAATAAGAAGGTTGATATTACGCAGTCTGCGCATACGTACATTAATCGTGAAGATTTGGACACTATAAAAAAAAGTGGGGGATGAACACGTAGTGAAAATCGTTAAGCAAATATCAAGCAAATGTAATAATTACAATTCGATGGTATCGAAAACCAATATGTAATTGAACGTTAATCAAGGAGTCGACGAAATAAAAAATAATTAATTTTGAACTTCTGGTCGCAACCTTGAGAGCTCAAAAGGACGCTTTCTGTCAATCTGTAAGACACAACACAAACAAATAAGAGAGGTAGTGAGTGGCGCAGCACATAAAATATTGCGATATAGCAATTCTAACGTCTGACACGGAGGCAATCGTATACTACAACGGTAATTAATACTCATTAGAATCAATAATTCGAATGACGTTACACTAGCAAACGCAAAATTTTGATCCACCACGGATTATCCTAACAGTATGGACGCATAAACGTGACGTAAACTTAAAAAAAAATACTTTACGATGCACAAATAACTAAATTTCTACTCAATAGCAATGCAATCTAATCAATTCAGAACATAAACAAGATAATATGAGCCAATTCTTCGGAGTAAACAAATACCGTAACAAAAAATTGTTGCTATCGGTTTCGGATACTCCTCGGTAACTTTAAAACTAATTCACAAAGTAACGGTACTAATATCGGTATAACACAGCTAATCTGAAGGATACGATGTTATCAGACTAACAGAAATGAATCTTCGTAGCAATGAGAAAGTGACGTAAACAAAATCGGGTCTCAATAAGTATATTCTTCGGCAACGACACAGGTAGTGTAAGTGTAAGTAAACTCAGAGATATCGAAGCAATTTACACGAGTAATGTTCTCCAAACGGTTCGTTAATACTTGCTATTACAATTCAGCGACAGTTATCGACTTCGTGTGTAAGTATGTCACAGGTAATAGCGGTAGAAGCAAAGTAGAATTTTCCTAGCCGGTAAGGTAGAAACATCCTTCTATCGAATGACGCGCTAAAACCAATCCTTGATAAGATGACGGGTCCAAATAAAAATGCTAATCATCCACGTACTGCGTGGGTAGTAGTAATATCCAGGTAGATCATCGTAAAAGGTAATCCAAAAGAAAGAACGATGAGAACATAAAAGAAAACTATGAGTGCTGAGTGAAGTTAAAGTCCTAAAAAAACATACGTAATGAGAAAAATGCTGCGTAATAATATAACATACATACCTCGTATTGTTTAAATGCAAACACAAATCCGTAAAAACGATTCAATGGAGTCACCACAGGCATCAAAAGAAAGAGAGAAACCACTACAAAAATAATATGCCAAAACAATAAATCCCTTACTGTAGATACGAAGTCAGAAAAGTAATGGCGTACCAAAAGACATTTGCATCTAATCTTCACTAAAGAGGAACAATAAAACGTGGCGGGCAAAATAAAAATGTAAAAGAAGGGATGGCATTAACTGCAGAAAGGTACAAAAATTAACGATTTACAACAAAACAGAAGAAAAGGAAAGTATTTTCTTGCTGGTTACACGTCTCTGTTAAATCCTGTTGCCCCCAATTCTTATCTAATCGCCAAGCATTCGTATGGGGGATGAAATCGAGGTTGGTTTAATTGCTGCTCGGCAAGATGGGCGTTATCTCACAGATACAGCTCCTACACACTGGTAATTCGTCTAGGAACACCCTTGTAGTTAGTAACCTCGACTGGTATTTATCAGAAGGGGTACCCCAAAAAAAACTATGTCGAAGTACTACATAAAACACCTATCTCCAACCCCAATCGCACACTAATCCACGAGAGGGTGCTCAGAAAATAGTGATGATCAAGGTAGCGATGGTGAAATGAAATTGTCAATTTACGTCGGCTCACCCGTCAGATTGCAGAAGATTGCCATCAAAATGGCCGGTTACTCACCACGTGTGAAATTTCCCAATTACATCCTCATAAACGAGAGATAATCCATAATCCAATCTTCGAAGTCACAAAAAAACAAGTGAATATACAATGAATAGTGTTATTTATTTTGAAAATATTTTTTAAATAACTTCAGTAAAAAATAAAAACGATTTTGCAAAATTTCGGATTTTCCGGATATATGTATCTCCGAAAGTAGTCGGAATTTTTCCAGTTTCAAAACTGCATTTTGTTAAGCATCAAAATACGCAACTTTGCCAAATTTAAACTACCTAATACCTATCTCTTATAGTTACCGAGATCCCCATGGTGGCTCTCGCATTTGAATCAGCCTGTACTGTATAATGGCTTTCGTTGAAAAATACGTAGTTTAGGAGATATAGAGCAAAAATTGAAAAAGTTCAAAAATTCGCTGTTTTGCGTGTACTTTGTCCAAGAGTTGTATGCAAACTTGGGTATACACTACTCTAATGAGTCCAAACAACATCTAAGAAATGTTTTGTTGATGCTAACGTCATGTGGATCAGGTGACAAATCAAAATCGCATTACAACTTTAGAGTGAAATCCTTTACCTTCGTGGGAAAAATTAAAGAATTGAAGTGCTATCCTTTTTGACGTGGAGTATTATAATACCTTCGAGCTTCCAAGAGAAGCAGTTCCAAAGTGTTGAGATTGATAAGAATTCATTAATCTTTCTGACAAAATGAAAGGATGTCGTACCCACCTCAGTAAGTGTAGAATTAATTTCGTTCATATATTTCGGCCCTATGCAAGTATACACGTCTCATGTAAATTCAAATATTTACAACGAAATTAATGTACCCACACCTACATAATTTGCAACCACAGCCTAGAGCAAGCTGGAACGAACTGCTTTGGTAAATTTTCTCCAACTTCAAAATTAAAATAAATTCATCATTCTGAATATTCATTTTCGTGGAGCGAGTTCTAACATCGATTTTTAAACTAAAAAAAACATTCGTGAGATTCGCAAACCGCCTCCGGGTTGGTTGCTGCTGCATTGTTGTGCTTTCAAAGCAAACGAACTAATTAATTGAGCTTCCGCTGAAAAGATAAATTTTTTAATTATTCATTTCGGATTACACAATGTTCGCACGGGCGCAAATAAGCTTAATTCCGTAGAGTACACTTGGGGAAAAAAGCATCAGCGAAAAGCTTTTTTTTTTGTAATTTACAGACTCGTCGCTCGTAGATTTGGCTAATGACATTAGCCATAAAAAATGGCCGCTCATTACCAACATGTCTTTTATAAATGAAGCGAAAAAACCTGTCTAATTTGTATGACTTTTTTTAAGAAAGAAAAAGGAAATTAATTGCTCACGGTAATAATAACATACCGTAAAGTTCAGAAAGTGTTAATTTTAAAGTTGGCGAACTTTCTTAATTAAATATTAAAATCCGCTCGTAATTTATCAACTGATGAAAAGAACATCGATCTATATATTATTAATGTTTTTAGTATGTATCGTTGGCGATGTTGTCTATGGCGCCGAAGAGCCGGTTCCAGCAGATCAACCCTGTCTCAAATGCAAGTGTGAACCACCAGGAGTTCAATGCGAAACAACAAGATGTATTAAAAAACCTGGTTGTAAAGCTATACATAAACCTAATGAGTGCTGTCCGGAATACCAATGCGGTAAGAATTTCTTTACTTTTCTTTTTATGTGGAGACTTTAATCGCGAAAATTTGCAATTACGTTCGAACGTACGTAATCGAACATGCGAGTCGTGCGCCAATTTAATACGGTAATCATCTCTCTCCACTTTTGAAATCCGCGCAGAAAATCGATTTACAGTTTCAGTTGTTAAATTAATTACTTGCGAACGCGACTTGGTTTTTTTCGTATTGGCGCGCCAATGAAATACCAAAAATCGTTAATTAGACTAGCCGGCTCTAAAAATAGATGGTATCAAATTATACAATATTTGAGAGAACTTAACGGTTTTGTTGTAATTATTGGTGGCGATCATTATCTTTTCGTTCGAGTAAATACAAAATTCCATTATTTCAAGGATATGCACTGTTCAAACGATAATCTACTTTTGCAGAAATTTAAAGAAAATTTAAAGAAAATCGATGAAACCATTAAAAATCAAATATCACTAGCTGTAATCCACAAAGTGGGGTTGACTTGCCCCTTGCATATTACTTACATTATTAAAGCTCCTATGGAATAGATATACAGGGTGTAACATTTGAGTTGTACCAACAAAATCAGTTGACAGAGGGGTACCAAAAGAAACGTTTTTCAAATTAACTGAGGATCGCAAATGTTTCCTTTGGAAGCTCTCCTTTAAAAGACCCTATGAGTGCATTTATTTTCTAATTTTTTTCTCGAGAACCATAAGACGCATCAAGAAGGATTGCACGTATTTGGATAGAAGTATTGAGAATTCCTTCTCCGATTTTGTAAACATTTTTCCAAAATTCGTACCCCTAAACAGAGCCGAGAAAGGAATCTGATTTCAACGAAATGTCTTTTTTAAGATGAAAATGCCGCATCTGCAAATGGTTTTCTAAATTTACGACTGTAATTCTTCGCTGGTACTTACTTTTATGAGTCCATTCACCTCGAATTATAGAGCTTAATTTCGCGCGTTTAATTTTAAGTCGTTGTCCGTATGCACAGAAATTTTCTCTGTCTCACAACTAAACTTTATTTAAGGTCACGCAGTTTGTGGGTTAAAATTTCCACCATTGCTCGTATTTAACGTAATAGTGATAACCGTAAAATAGCCTTTTTTACATTTTAACGAAAAATTTTATAGAAAGTGGTACTTTTTTTCACGAATTTACTATGCGTTTCCATGGAGTTTAGTCCTGTTTATGAACAATAGCATCCATTTTTGAGTGACAGTTAATCGCGAATGTCAATAAAATTATTCAATTGTGGGTTATTACGGATCACTATGCAAAAAAATTTCGTGTACAACAGTGCTGAAAGTGTCTTTTTTCCATGAATTTGCTTGATTAACTCGGGCTTCGCCCTCATTAATTCATGAAAAAAAGTATCACTTTCAAAACTAGTTGTACAAATAACTATTGTGAATGAGGAATAATAGTATATTAAGATACAAGTGTATAATCAAGTCTTTAAAGCACGCGCAACGAGTTTAAGGGCACGACGCCAAGCGGAGTGCCTTTAACGTTGCAAGTGCTTTAAAGACCAATTATACACGTGTATCTTATAGTATTTTTTATTATACCTGCAGTATAATTTAAAAATAGGAAATACAATGAAATCATATTGACGTTATACTCGAATACATGTTTAATTAAGTGGGCTGGGTGTTCGTAATTTCACGATTGCCATGGAAATGTCACTTGACGTTTGCTTATAAAAATCGTCGTCTGTGTGAATAAAACGATTTCCGTTGAAAAAGATAATACACCGTCCATTAAATCGATTGTTGTAAAATCTAAACAAACGTTGGTAGGTGTAAAATCCAACTCCAGTAAAGCCTATTATAAAGAATATGAAAAGTTGTTTCCATGGATGAATAGGAAGTTACTTACGAATACAGTCTTAAATGCATCCATAATGCTGGCATATATGAAGGAAATGTCAAAGGTATTTAAATCTTCTATATTTTGGTGCATTCATTCAAAACTTTAAAGCAATGCTGCGATTAAAAAGTGGAACAGATTTGGAAGCATACCCTATAAATTACGCGCGTTTGTGAAAGCTTCAACCAAAGGATAGGTACAAAAGCCAAAGAAATGTTCTGCATTTACAGAAAGCGACCTAAGAGGATTTTTTATTTCATCCAGATGACAGTTTCAAAAGTCATACTTGAAGTATCGTTACTTAGCAACTTTAAAGCACGTGTGTTTTAAAGGCCCTTTTTCGCACGCATTTGAGTGTTTAAAACGGAGATTGTGATTCAGGTATAATAAAAAAACTTTAATTCGGAATTTTACGCGTGTGTTTTTTTTTATGTAGGTACACAAGCTTCGCGCCTGCACGCAATTGTTTCCGCAAATAATATAGGTACACTCTCGATTATTAGAGTTGTCACACCAATATATAACAGACAGCTTGCTATAAAGTTCAGATGATCACCTGCGCTCACGGTTCGGCGCGAGTTCGAATAACACTAATTGAAATCCATCCACCAATACATTACAGGTGGTTAACTTAACTTCGCTCGCCGCTTAACGTGAAATTTTCTAACACAAATCAAACACACTCTGCGCTAAATTATGAGCGATAGACTTAACCGCTTCACGCTGATTGTCTGACGGTTCTCTCCGAATAATCAACTTCCTACTACCTTACTCGAGACCTTACTCTTTTTAGTGACGCCCATTCCGGAACGCAAACCATTTCTACCAATAAACCTCGATAACTGCGACTGCAAAATAAACAAAATCGTCCTGTAATCCGAACCAACCACGCAATATTCTCCGACTTCTAGCGCCTTAAATTTTCAAAGCATTTACAAAGTCAGGACCGTATTTAAGAACTCGCCCACGAAACATATCCACAAAATTTAAGAAATCTTGCCAAGTGACGAGAGCACATTTTATATCTTGCTTAACCCAATTTGAAAAACGGCACAACCCTTAAAAAATCAACTCCAAACTGGCAGAAACCGCTACTTGACCAAACTCCCAACTACCAAATGAATAAAATTATACGCTCGCCCACGCCCATGTGCCCTTTTACTATATCGTGCCTAATTGAAGGAGGAAAAAATGGCGTACAGCGTCTTGGAAAGAACTCGACTCTGACGCTGCAAAAAAAGCTGTCCTTCCTAGTGGCCTACCATAGAAAAACCCTTAAATATCTCCAGTACCCGGGTCTCCTCGCCACACAGTTCTAAAGCTGGAAAGTAGTCCTTCAGCTCACCCCCCTAGTATTATCATGTGTAAGACTCTTTTGAAACCTGATAAAAGGATGAAAGGAAATTGATAGGAACTAAGACACACTTAAAAGGAAATTGTGGGAAGGTTGCGGGGAACCTGAACGGAACGGAACTTCAGAAGAATTTTAAAAGTGCGACTTGAGAAGAATGTTATAGAAACTTGAAGGGTAATTTGAAGAACTGAGCCACGAACTTGGTTTAAAGAAATTGAGAAGTGGACGTAAAAGGAATATTAGAAGAATTAGTGAGGAACTTTCGGAAAGTTTAGGAGGAACTTGACAGATACTTAAAAGCCGGCTTAAAAGGAAATCAAGGGAAGCTTATGGGGAATGTGAAGGAAATCTTAGAGATAGAATCTTGAGCAACTTGATAGACGAAAAACTTAAGAACGAGAAAACTAGAGAGAAATTTGGGTGAGTGCTTCTAAATGAAATCGCGTGGCACTGTCGAATATAAAAATCTAGTCTGAGATATTCATAATAACGAATCCATCAATGGAAAAGTAAAAAAATTGCTCCTTAACTTCCCAAATTTTTATATTACTTACATTTTTGTTTCACAATAATCAATATATTAATAAAATAATAACTTCCAAGGTAGTGGAGGGACCTAGGGCCCAATATGGAATAGTATTATAGCGAATTTTCTAGATCGTCAATAAGGCGCCACCATGCCCCCCCCCCCCATTAGTCAATGGTTTTTTTTATAATTTTAAATTCATACAAAGCAAGAACACATATGTAGATAGCCACATATAAAATGAAAGCAATAAATTTTATGACTGCCATCTTCTGGCTGCGAAACTAATCTATTATCAATACTCACCCCGTATTTGCGTCTTAACCTCAAAAATCACTATAAATGAAATATAACACGAAAAACTACTCTTATTTTTGGAATTGTACGCATAAACACGCATATAATACCGGATGATTTATTATCATTTATGAAAATTGAATAAAATCATAATTTTTGTAAAATCAATTGCAAAAAGCACGTGCGAAATGTTTACATTATTGTTCACGTTGGAACTGCATACTGCAATAACGTTGCGTAGGCAACACACATTGCACAAGTATATTCGAACGTAGGGCGTTAGGCGTGAAAATAATTTGAATTGCGGAATTTTCTTTTTGTGCGTTTATTCGATAAGAGATCAATGTTGCATTTGGATTTATTTTTCAGAATGCGAACACAGGGGTCGATTTTACGCAAATGGAGAGCGAATAGAAACTCCAGCTGGAGGCGAATGCAAAGTGTGCTATTGTCGAGGCGGTGAACTTCAATGTGCGGAAGTAAGCTGTTACATAAGGACGGACTGTGAAGGTCGTACAGTTCCAGGACAATGCTGTCCCAAATACGATCATTGTCCTCCGCGAGGTAATACTAAAGTAATAACACAACACGTACGCATGCTTTACCGAATATTTCAGAACCGATCCTTGACCACGTGCCGTATACGACGCCATCAAATTCTGAAGGTAGCGCCGACCCGTCCTCGCCCAACACGTCTTATGAAATCCAACTAACTACATCCATGACCCATCTTCAAGAAGATTTTCAAACTCCACCAGAGATTAGGCTTATCGATTCGTCAGTAGAAACCAACATACAGGATATACCGAAAATAACGATACAAGAAATAATTCCCGAAATTAAGGAAATACCCATAACGGGGCCACCGAAACGAGAAATAAATCTATTGACGCAAAGTCAGGTTTTGGACGCGCAAATCACTAACAAACTTCACAAGGACGATATAAGCGACACTGAGACTGAATCCAGTGAGATTTCAGAAATTTACCATCACCCGCCTCCCATTTTAAAAATTGGTGATCAACTCCTCGTCCTTAAGAAGGGAGAGTTGATTCCTAGAAAGGGCAGTACACCGCGACCTGTAATTACTGTGATCGGCGCCGAAGGCTTACAGCGAGGTACTGAGGATAGCGGCGAAACACACGAAGTGGTGGTTCAACGAAACGATGACTCCAGGATTAATTATACGGATACACCAACACCATCAGATAAGGTAGAAGCTGTAAGTGTCACAGAGACTAACGTCGAGGCTACAACAGCCTCGTACCAAGTAACTACTGTAGATGTGTCTAATTTCACAAATTCTGATGTTAACACCACGGTGGAGCAGACAGCAGGTGCTTTGGAAAGAGTGAAGACGCTTACTCACTTTGAAGCTACAACCGAAATAGTGGACCAACAAATTTACTCTAACGAAACCACGACAGCTGACGCCCAAAACACTACCGCGCAAGCAGATTCGTCTTCAGTTTCCGTTTCCACAGAGATCTCCCTGCAAGTTCCAGAAGCGTCAGTACCCCTCAACGAATTGTCCAAACACAAACACGACGATGAACTTATTGACCAAAACCCCGAATATCCTCCAATTCCAGACATTATGACCCCACAAAACATAGAAGAGGAACACTCGGACTTAGAGGACGGGCAAGACACAAATAGGTCAGGACATCCGCTTATAAACACAAACGCTTCCTTACCATCCTTCCTCTTGGAAGAAACTGCGCCTTCGGACATAAATCCGCAAGACAACAGCTCAAGGAAGGACCCAACAACGGAGACGGAAGGCTCCAAAGAAACCGTCGAAGACACCTCAGAAGAAAGCGGCGAATTAACAACGCCACCCAGCAGCTATCCTGCGCCGATGCTATCGGTCGAAGACGCCAGCATCGAAACGGTCACAGCAAATTCGTCCGAACTAGTCGAAATCATTCGAGTCACAGAGAACACGCGAATGACACCGGACGTGGAAATCATCGACCCCCAAATGCTCACGAACATGACGAAGGAGAACGAGAGCGACAAAATCCCAGATCGCTCGGTAAAGGAATCGGAGACCATATTCAAGAAACTGAATCATCAGTTAAGTCTTAACGAGAACAGAACGGCGGACAAGGACGCCGAGGCGATCTTCAAGGAGCTGCTAGAGGAAGCGACCTCGTCGATGCCGCCCCTATTGGAAGGGCGCGAGACGGAATCGGATCTCTTTAAAAAGGTCAGCGAGGCCATCGCCAAATACCAAAAGAAGGAGACGAAAGAGTCGCTCGACGTCAGCATACTCGGTATATTAAAGGATTTCTTCAACTCGCAATACAAAAATGAGGAAAAAGCAAATTAGGTCATTTGTGCGAGCACTGCGTGGAAGCTTTGAGGCATGTGCGGTTATGGCTGGGCATTGATTGAATAAAAAAAGATGCGCCGAAAGCGCGTTAAAATCTGTGTTTTTTATTTATTTATTCTTAGCACTGTTACAGAGAACAAATAACTGAACAATTATAGTTGTACATGTTTAAATGTAGTACGTACGTAAAACGTAGCTTAGTTTTAGACTATTAATTTATTATACCTACATAATATTAATTAAAAACCAGTCATAATAGAAGACTTTTAAACAATAATTTAGAATAGCGTTTTTCTATTTAAATTGTTGTTATTATTATAAAATATTTATGTATCATGTAAAATTATACGTAATACAAATATAAATGTTTCCTAAACCGAACATTAAAAGTGAAAGGGCGGAGGACCGATTGTGTAATTGGGCGAACTCACAAATAAGGTGACGGGAGTACACTTTGGATACGTGTACTTTCTAAATGCATTAATTTGCATTGACAATGAATTAGGAGGAAGTAGTTGCTATTAAAGGAACGAAGTTACGTATTCCTTGCCACTTCCTTTTTTTTAATGTCCCGAGGGTCGCGCAATGGAACGCTTTGTGTATCTTCAAAATTTAACGACTTCGTTTGAGGTGGAAATTTTTTTAATTAAAAAACTTGGCTTTTACCCTAACCTCTGCTGTTTCACAGATCAATCCTTACAACAGATTCTAGAGTTACACAAAAAGATTCAAGTAATTAAAGGTTTTTAAATATAATACTTATGGTTTAGTAATTACGCCATAAATGAAAGATGTGATACTTTATCCCGAAAATAAAAAGAGTACAAAATTTTACCTAAATTGCCGTCGTTTCAACCCACCAATTTAAATAATTTACTCGCAATTTGATATCCATTTCGCAGGAACATCACTGGTACCAATTTTAAACACAGATGGTGCCCAGAATCTTCAATATGGCCTCGAAAAGAATGGATTTGGCATCAACTAGAATACATTTTTGTTTATGACGAGTCCGTTTTTATTTCCATTGCACTTGTAGAAGGACAAATAAGGTTGTATTAGATTAGGTACTTATATCCGACCGTTGAGTGAAATCCGACGGAATTATCGCAATCGATTTCTAAAATTCAGCATGCGGTTCTGAGTTTCCCCAAATTTTGGCCCATCTGCGACCTAATGTTCCCCTTTTTCTTCACCCTTATGTTGTGATATAGATATATATATTCAATCCACAAAGAGACTAGGCGCCAAGAGAACTATAAACGGGGGATCGGGCCCATTCAAAGGCCCATCTCAAATTGGTCTCTCTGGTGCCCGTTCTGGGTATACCATCATGTTTCGGTGGCTACGCAGAACGATCATAGGATTTTTCAAAAGCATTGAATATACCTACTGTGCGTAAATTTTAACGCGAACATACAAATCTCCTTGAAATATAGGGTGTCCATTATGTATGGAATCTAGTATATATCTCGGTAAATGTAGAACGTCGGTATACAACATGTTTCTATATGAAAGTTGTTTAACATTCTATTTCCCACAATAATGGCAGCATTCAGTTGTTTTTATTTCAGAAAACAAATGAGTAACGAAAAAAATTTGAATTTTTTAAAATATCAGTACACCTTTTCATTAGGCTCATTTGACAGAGATTTTTTTCTTTTTTTGATGATATAATTCCGTAAGTACCCTAATTCAAGAAGATTTTCCAAAAAAATTAATTACAATTAGATCAATAACATTAATCCAGATATCATACATCAAAATAAAACGAATGAACATGCACGTTCCTTATTAAACCTTGAAGACAAAGCGAAATTAGCAGTAAAATGGTTTTCATCGTAATGAATGTTCAAAATGGTCACCATTAACTGCAAACTGCAAGGCAGTGGCATAATCTATCGCAAAAAACTTGAAATAAAAATTAATTTCTTCTACACGGGTGCTAACGTCATTGAAAAGAGAAAAGAAATCTCTATCAAATGAGCCCAATGTAAGTGTGCATTGATATTTAACAAAATTCAATTGTTTTTCATTATTCATTTACAGTCGATATTTACCGAGATATATACTATATGTACTCTATTCGATACATAATGGACACCCTGTATAATATCAAATACCCCTTACGATATGCAACCAATCTGACCTACTTTCATCTTTTTCAAATGTTTTTCAGTGCACGCCAATATTTAAATTATTTACTAAATTAAGATTCTTTGGATTAAGAGTATTTGGTTTCCGTATATAATTATATTGAGATTTTCGAACAGTTTATATAAAAATCGTCTTCACAAATCCGTACTAAAGAGGAAATGGTCAAATTCCTTCGACATTTCGTTCGTTATTACTTTGGAAAACATCTCTTCGAATAACATTTTTTATCCGGATAGCAGGTTGGCAAATGCGTTCAATTTCAATTTTTAATTTTTTGCATTAATCTCTGTTTTTTCAACTCATGTTGGAAGGCGCTATTATGTACACTTTCTCCGTCTGTTTATCCACAGTGTTCGTGTTCGATATAATACTTCGTTCTTTTTTAAATCCGTAGCTTATAGCTCTGACTCATGAACACCTTGACAATTAATGTAATTTCTTTGACAATTTTAACCATAAGATGCTTCTAGTAAAGTAAATGCATGGAAAATGCGTTAAAGTTACTCCCCTTATACCCCAGGAATATCAGTGCTAAAAAGGGGTCTAGCCCCTAAAAATTGCTCGAGACTTGGAAATCGTTTTAACCCCTTTAAGGGGTCCTGAATAACGGGTATACTTATGAGTTTGCGACGGTTTCTAGGTTGTGCGTCAGATTTGAGAGCCTAAAAAGCGCACATTTTTTGCACTTTTTTGAACATTTCACTTATAACTCGAAAAGTACTTATCCTACAGAAAATTTTACTCTCTTCTTTTCTAAAGAGCATTAAATTATGCTTTCAGTCACAATCGTCCGATTTTTATACAAACTTAGCTCAAAAGTTGACAACCCTCAAATTCTAACGCCTGTAGGTCGAAATGGACTGCACCGATTGAAAAATATCACAGGATAAAACTTGTAGATACTGTAATTGTGAATCAGATGCTGTTTTAAATTTGCAATTCGCTCACTCCAGTGCTGAGATATGAATTTTAATCGAAAGAGTCCTTAGCGCCAAATTTCCGCTAAGGCAGTCCAACGCAGGAAACTTCGTCTGAACTCAAACTCTGCTTCTACTGTGGAAAGACGTGAAACAGTGCGTGAAATTCAGACTCTAGAGACAATGTAGAGTTCCTTGAAGTTGAATTTCGGTACTTCCTCACGGCCTCTTGTCACACGGCTTCCGTTTCCTGCTTCGTTTTCAGAGTATAATTTTCTGTAGGATAAGTACGAGTTTCGAGTTATAAGTGAAATGTTCAAAAAAGTGCAAAAAATTTGCGCTCTTTAGGCTCTCAAATCTGACGCACAACCTAGAAACCGTCGCAAACTCATATACCCGTTATTCAGGACCCCTTAAAGGGGCTAAAACGCTTTCCAGCTCTCGAGCAATTTTTAGGGGCTAGAGCACTAATTTGCCTGGGCTATTAGAGCAAAAACTTTTTTAAAATTGTTTTACTATTAGGCCGGATTAGATTTTGATTGAACCACTCATACCGGGGTCTATTACTGTCAGACCAAAGACAACCGTCACAATTCAAACTTGCTTATTCCAGATTGGAAAGCAAGCAAGGAGCAAAAATTGGTACTCCCTAGAGAAGAAACCGCACGTGTTAAAAATTAGATTATGCATACACAGACATTTAGTGATTTGGAAAGATGTCTTTCATGATCTGTCAATTAACAGCCCCCCCCCTCCTCTACCGATAATCTGGGATTTCTAAAGCACCTATTGATCGTATAATCATGCATTTATTGCGCACAATTAAGCACTAATTATACTATTTTTTTAATTTTTCTACTTACATTATTGGTAATGTTTGTTTAAAATTTTCCTTGAGATGTGTGTAATTAAAAGTTGGTCGTATCATTGAATAAAAAATATAGTGTTTTTATTCAATGGTCGTATATATAATGAATTGACTCATGGGTTTTATTTGAATTTCATGTTTTTATTGTGTAATTGTGGGGTATTATGTAAATAAAATCGGGCTAATCTGCGCAAATTTGTCATACCTGTACTGTTGAGCATTATTTATAGCGGATTTGTTGGATAGATAAACGTTTTATGGGTTTGTAATGTTTAAATTAAAGTTAGAATTAAAATGTTGCAGTTACCCCTTACAATCTTCCAGTAAGGCGAACATTCCCACATTGTAGATATCGTTCTAACCTATTGCGACGTTGCGACCTAATTTTGTCATGTCAGTCTGATCCGGCCATCCGTTTGTCCCGTCCGTGGTTATGGGAAAAAAAGCTTAACCGTTTCCAAATTTGATGTGTACTTCCTATTTTGAGCACGATTTCATGACTTATACAGGAGCCAAAAGCCCAGACAAAGTTTTTTGGTCGAGAGGTTAAATATATCTACTTCTTTTAATTCCAAGGATGACCTAGTCACCATAAAAAGATCAAAATATGTAAAACTCGTTACTTATTTGAAGATTTCATTTAAAAACGTTGGAAAGTTATGTTCCAATCTACAATGGGGCGAGACGTATCTATTCGTAGTCAAAACTTTAAATCCGAATATCTTGAAAACGAATTGTCGAAAGAGAGTAGGTAGGTACTGTCAAAATGAAAATAGGAGGTATATGTTTCGGTGAGGTCCAAACTTTAATTCAGGATCTATATAAAACTGAGTTTCAGAAGAGAGTCAGGTCAAAGGGGAAATAGAAGGTATACCTAAACGAGACGTATCTATCGGTGAGGCCTCAATTTCCAATCCGATCTCCTAAACAGCGTATCGAAAGTGGGGAAAATCCGAATCCGAAGCAAGCAGCGTGAGAATTTCGAATCACTTATTTATCGTTTGAAGGATTTATTGTTTACTGACCTATTGGTTATTGTCAGGTCTCAATGTATC